TGTTTTTCTGTCAATATGGGGTGCTGTGTGTACATTAATGAGGAAAAAAATGAACTTAAATGATTTTAGCATATGGCTTCAATATAACAAAGAGTGAAAAATTTAAGGGGGTCTGAATACTTTCCGTACCCACTGTATGGTAGTAATGAGTTATCTTTGTGTTTTGGACAACTAAAAACATAATTTTGAGAAATCTAGCTGAGACAAACAAGGATATATGGTGGAGAAAATACCAGTACAATTTGGTTACACCACATCTACTTCATGGTGTGGACTTCAGATTCAGATGCGTGTTATACTGCCTATTTATTTATATCCATAAAAGCTTAAGTTGTTCTAAGTGATCACCTTGATGAAACATTTCAATCCTAATGGGAGTGATCTCTTCCAGGATGACAGTGCCCAGATCCACAAGGCGCGAGGGGTCACTGATTGGTTTGAAGAGTATAAAAATGGTGTGAATCATATGCTGTGGTCTTCACAGTCACCAGATCTTGACCCGGCTGAACACCTAGAATATTTTGGAATGATGTGTTAGACAGTATCTCCACCACCATCATAACACAAAATGAGGGAGTATCTTTTGGGAGAAAGGTGTTCATCCTTCCAATAGAGCTCAGAGCAGGGGTGGGCAGTCCTGGTTGTTGAGGGTCGCTGCCCTGATTGTTTTCCAACTATCCCTGCCTTACCCACTGCTGATTATCTGGATCAGGTGTGTTCAGTCAATCTGAAGCTGGAACAGGTAATCAGCAGCGGGTAGGGAAGAGAGAGTTGGAAAACAAGCAGGGCAATTTTCCCACCCCGGTCCAAAGAATCAACTACAATGTGCAGTGAAGATGTTGTGGTGGCCTACCACCTTGATAAATTGTCCTTTCATTTGTAACCAGTTTGTATTGCTTACTTGACATCCTGTAAAAACCAGCTGCAAATTTATTTAATACATATGTTCTGTTGACCTTTTAGTTTTTTGGTTAACTTGTGCACTGTTTAATTATTGGTTATGTTATATTCAGTTTAGAACAGCACAGTGATGAAATGGTTAGCGCCTCACAGCAAGAAGGCACCGGGTCCAAGCCCAGGCCGACCCGGTGCCTTTCTGTGTGGAGTTTGCATGTTCTCCCTGTGCCTGCGTGGGTTCTCTCTGGTTACTCTGCCTTCCTCCCATAGTCCAAAGACACGCAGCTTAGGATGATTGGTGACTCTAAATTGCCCATAGGAGTGAGTGTGGTTGTTTGTCTACGTGTCAGCCCTGTGATAGACTGGCGACCTGTCCAGGATGTACCCAACCTCTCGCCCAGTGTCAGCTGGGATAGGCTCCAGCTGCTCCAGCAGCTCCATTCATATAAACCAACATTCTTTCCTTGCGTGTTGAGAACCTGATCTACTCTTATGTCACTGTGTCTTTAAAATAGCCATCTCCTTTCATGTCCATGTAGGAAATACACTATTATGTAATATCTTGCAGCAGCATCCATTCAGTGATACTATATTTAGCAGTGGTAATCCAAATATGTCTACATACCCTGAGGTGCAATAACAACTTTCAACATGGAAATGGGCATCAAAGGTTTAGTATCAGAACAAATGAAAACCCCAAAACATTGCTCACTTGTTCCATTGGTCAGCAATGCAGTCTTGGTTTTTCAGAATTTATTTGGCATGCGAGTTTGACTAATACATTAGTAGAGCTGCAAAAAATTTCTTGAATATATTAGAACAATGTTCAGTCAATCAATATTTAAGGTGGGTGAGCACACCACTGCTAATTTCTATATGTATAAACATATGTGTTAAATAAAGTGCATTATTTAAATTGTATAAAAGTTGCTTTTCTAATGCAATAACAAAATGAGCTACCTGCAGCCGACTTAAAGACTCCCAGTGAGTATACTATCACTCTGAAAACACTCAATGGGTACAGCGCATCACACACATTCATTCAATGCAGTGTCTCTGTGGTGTAGCAACTCACATGCCTATTACATAACAGGACTCCTACTCCCATGCCCAACGCCCCTGACAAATCTATACACACTTTGCTGAACATGAGCTATTTATATACTGCACCCAAGACATGCCCGGTCAAAAATACAACTCCAGTCAATTATTCATTGAAAAACATTCTAAAACAGAGCTGGGAGTAGGTTTGACTGCTCAGGAATAGACCAAGAGGATAACAATAAATAATATCAGTTAGCAATGCAGCAGCTAGTTTGTCCTCAGCGGTGGTGAATCTGAGTGAGAAGGATGGGAGCTGCAAACTCACCCTTCATGTGTTGTGCTTGTATTTATCCGAGTCTGTGCATACACTTCAGCTCCTCTGCAACCATTCTAAATATAGCAGGCTGTGCTGTGCTTGTAATTTGAAAGAACAAAAAAAAAAAGGCAGCAGGAAAAAGTGCTGTTGTACAGGGATACTATGTGGATGCACATTTTTGTGTGAATGGATGCAGTGTTTTAAGATGCTCTATGCAGCAGCATAATACTCAAATAAACATCTGTTCCATTTATGTTACCCATGTTTATTGGCTTAGACATATATAAGACAGCAAGTAAAGCATTTTCTTTTGCAAAGATAATTAATTTTTATCACTTCCAGGGTTATGGTTGCCAAACTGTGACGCATCTGAAGTTTCTAATTTGCTTCTGACAGCTACAGATAAACTGTAGCCATAAAAGTTATAAGAAATGACTTCAATAAAAGATGCAATGTGAAACATGTTTATATCAGTTGACTGTTGTAACTGAAGATTGAAAAAAAGCATATATGTACAGTCAAATGTCTTACTGTATGTTGTGTCAATCAGACAATGAAAGAAGATACTTTGAAAACTTAACTGTTTAAAACTTTAATTTGCTACCATTTTACAATCTTGTCACTGTACCACATGTACCAGTCTGTGAATTCACCTACAAAAGGCCAGAGTTGTGCAAAACTGGAGCAGCACAAATGTAGTGTGACACATCTTTGGTCCTTTCCTGGATGCCACTTTTGTACCAAATCATGAGTGCAACCACCTGTTGACATCACCTGTTTCACATGGAATCATCATTTCATTGCTTTACCTCATTGCTGGCCCTGAAATGTAACCATCCCAACTTTTGTTGGAATGTGTTGCAGGCACCAGAATTGATATGAGTGTTTATTTTGAATAAATTATAAAATTGATAAGGTGTCACATTAAATAATGTGCTGCTGTAGAGTTTCCAATGAAATACAGGACACAGATGATTTACAAATCACTATTTTCACTTTAACGTTATTATATATATATGATTTTATATACTGTCCCAACTTTTTCTGATTTGGGGTTGTAATAAAACCCGACACATTTCAATTGTTTGATTTGATCGTTTAAATTCAAGAAAATTGAATTTCAAGTCACAACCCAGAATATAATGTTACTGCATTCTACATAAATATGAAGGCATACTATAAATTAAAGAACACAGATTAAACTAAAAATATCCATCCAGCTTCGCCTGCTTTATCTGAGACCAGGGTCACGGGGGCAGTAGCCTGAGCAGAGCCTCCCAGACTTCCCTCTACCCACACACCTCCTCTAGCTCCTCAGGAGGAACTCCAAGACGTTCCCAGGCCAGTTAGGGGACATAGTCTCTCCAACGTAGTCTCTAACCACAAATATCGGAATATTCCCCACTGATTGTGCAATATACTCACATATTTAATCTAGAACATATATTGGGATATTGTGGAGTTTTTAATGATACTAAGTTGTGGAAGTCATTTAAGAATATAGATTTATTATGCTCCTTCATCCCAGGCTCTTGTAAATGGTTAATCAACAATCATAAGAAACTGCAATGACGGAGCATTTTAATAAACTTTCCCTTTCAGGTATGCATCTATTACGGGTATATTCAGTGTCTTTGAAATTATCTGATTTGTGGATGTAAAAATACATTATATTTATTAAGTATTCCTTATATTCTGACCATCTCTTGTACTGTATGTGTAAAAAAAATAAACACCTCTAAATATAATGTAGTCCAGTACTCCACTGCCTTTAACTATCATCTCATTGTGTACCTAATTGCTGAACTAAAACTATGCATATAAAGTCATTATAGAACTCATACATATAGATTTTGGTCATCTTAAAATTATATGAGATTCCAAACTATATAGATTGCTCTGTGGTTCTGATCACAAAACTGACTTTCAATTGGATATAGTACAATGTATCTGAGGTTATCATACAAAAAAGGGCAGATTTAAGTGCTGACAAAAGGAGTTTGTCTAAAAAAAGTTAGACAGTGCCACCATCAGGCTGATTCTAAAATATTTACTAGAAAAATAAAATGCAGTCACGTTTATGACTGCTTCCGATCAGGGATATAGGATTATATAGGGATATCGGTTTTGAAGCAGTAAGAGTGAAATGTTACGATGCTGAGAGCGTCAGCTTAAAGGAGTGTTTTAAAATCCTAGAGACAAAGAAATGAACAAAACATCCACGCAATGCCTTTAATACTGTACATTTAATACAGATTCCACTTTTTTTTTTTTATAAATGGTCACTGGCAAATCCTTTTTCTATGAGATGATTTCCATAAGTTAAGAAGCAAATGTAATAGCATATTTCATTTTCTCTTTGTGTATTTAAATTAGCTTGGCGCACAAACGGTGTGTAGGTCCCATACAAATAGGAATGATAAAAAAAAGTGCAAAAACTGAGAATTCTCATCCATTTTATGAAGCAACATTTTTTTTACCCTAAAATTAAGGTGCTGCAGAAGAATTAACAGCAACTTCACAGCCTTATTCAATATTATTCCCTTTCATTTTTTGCAAGTCAAGCAAACCTAGGAAAACTAAACAAAACAAAAAAACTGTTTGACAGACATCTTGATCGTTTGATAACAAGAAGTCCTGTGACCTCGACAGTTCTCTTACATTTCAAACTCAATTTTTTGGGGGAGTTTGAGCTCAAAGGAAAAGAACCCAGATTATTTGACTGGGTATGAATCTTGATACCTTACCTGAACAACAAGTTTCTTACATTTTGTTTTATGTGTGGTCATTAGATGAATGTGCACATACATGTGTATGTTTGAGTGCGTGTGTGTGGCGCTCCTTGATTCAGACTTGGAGAGTGGTTTAGGGCTGACGGCGTTCCCTCTTGGTGAGGAGGTAACACTGAATGGTTCTCAGACGATCTTTGGCAGGGGCGAACTCCGGCTGCAGTTTTAGAGTAGACTCATACCAGAGCATGGCTTTCTCAAACTCCTCCTGTTGTCAAGAAACAAAATCCACATCACCATAAGACCACATGGCCTCCGCCAGTGCTTGATAAATGCCCTGACTTTCAGTTGCTGCACTGGTTAAACTTGAGGAAGTGAGCAGTCACCACAAGGAAACAAATGATGATCAAATAGTAACAAGTTTTAATTGTAGTCATTACCATTGCTATATAGACATTGGCAAGGGTAAAGTGGTTCACAACGAAGTGTGGGGCAATTTCTACGGCCATACGGGCGACTGTGAGGGCGTCCTTCCATAGCCGAGCGTTCTGGAAGATGTTGGCCAGGCTGATAAGGGGCACATCCTAGTGTACAGTTCAGAAGGACAGAAAGAATGCTGACTTTTCCCCCAAGTTTTAAACAATCCCTTATTTCATACAAGTACTAGGTGGGTTAACTGCTAGGAACAGCTGATGGCTGACTTGCCTTCATGTGATAGGGGGCGTAGTGGAGGGCCTGTCGTAGGCAGTCGATTGCTTTCTTGCCTTGACCTTTCACCCTCCAATACAGTGCAGCCATGCTGGATAATACCCATGATGTCTGATTCTGTAGGTTCAGGAGTCAAGAAAAAGGAAACATACAATTAAATTGTTATTAATGCTGTAGTTAGACATCTCAAAAGCTGGGTATTGCTGCTAATAAATTATGCACAATTATGCCATGTACTTCAAATAATTATTCCCTGGAGACCTGCAAAACTTTTATTATTCTGATTATGGCAAAATAGCACAAAACGTTCCACGCCAAGTGTTCTAGGCTGCTACGACAACAATCTGCAAGAGAGGACAACCTGAACCAACACAACAGAGGAAGTTTCAGTACAGTGGATTGCACAGTGGAGTACTCATGTTTGTCAGATTCAGTTTTGGATGAAAACAATGTACAGTATTCTAAATTGCTATGACAGCGCAGCTTGAAAGAGTTGGTCAATGAGAAAATGTAAATGCAACAAAGCATTATTTTATGCAGTGCACAATTTAATGTGTTATCTTATCATTTCTAATTGCACATTAGCTTTGTTATAACATTTTAATCGTAGCAAACTGTAGCAGGGTATGCAGCATTGCAGGAAGGAACACACAAAAAAAATAATTTAAATCAGATCTTGACTAAGCAAGAAAAAATATGAAATATTATGAATATATGATTTTTTTTCCCAGGTGAAGCTGAATATTATTGAAACATCAGTTACTTTAACACAAATGTTTCTGTTTACCTGTCTGGGATTGCCCTTACCTTCTCCAGTACTTTAGCGATGCGTGTGCCCACCTGCTCAAAGGACTGAGGGAGGAACTTATCTTTGCCAAGGTTCTGCAGGACCTGTGGGTTTGGACAAGAAGAGACCAAGTGGGGCTGTATGGTTACCATGGCTGTAAACCTTGGTTGTTTAGGTTCAGATGTTGCCTACTGGGCTGGATGAACTCTTGATTTTTCGTAGTACCCAGATCAATTTCTCATTTCCATCTAAAACTTGAATGCCTCACATCAGTTAGCGAGATTAACTGGCTCTCCTTGGTCATTACATTGAAATCCAAAATGCTGCCAAACTGCAGCAGTTGCAATTTTTTGGGGAACGACTGGCTAGCGTTCGCCATGTGCTCCGTCTTCTAATAAGAGGCTGTCATGTGACACGAGTATGAGAGCGTCTAATTAGTGAGGTTTTTTTGACAGGTTCTTTATTTGATAAATTAGGCTTACTTTATTTACAGAAGTACTGTAATTACTTTTATCACATTATAGCACCACCACAGGCAGAGTTGCTACAGCTGGACATCGACACACACTCTTCAAGCATTTGTTATAAACAGAACACATTACATAGCAGATTTTTTCATGAAAGTAATTAAAAGAATACCGTTGCTATTCTTAAATACCCCAGGACACCATAATATCGTATTACCACCCAACCCTACCCTGGACCTGATCTTAGCTATTTTATCCACAAAGAATAGAACAAAATTCTTCACAAGCTGCAGAGGACAAATCAGACCACACAGCAGTACTGGGATTATTGACAACATTAATAGTGCTAAACAGCACCTTGGGGTTGTGGCACCTGTTCCCACGGTATGAAAGATACTGTTCTTCGCATCTTTAACAGCACTTTGGTAGGCCACCAGGCTGTTTCTCAAACTGTCCAAAGATGCCTGAGCATGGTCTTTTTTCCCCCCACTTATGCTAGCCACATCTGCAAGTCAGTCATTAAGCCACGGATCACGTTTTTTTGTGGGGTTTTTTTTGTTCCAAATGGAACACAGAAGGCAAGAATATCAGTGCCAGTTAAACAAAGCCAACAGGTCATCTACAGGTGCACAGAGACAGGGGCCTTGTGAATTGAAGAGCTGACTGTCTTTAAAAGCAGTAGAGAAAAAGGTCTGGTGTCATAGGAGTAATTACACGATGTCGCCAAGCGGGTAGACTGGGCTTGGCTGTAAGACAGAGGACCCAAACATCAAGCAGAACAGGCAGATGGTCGGAAATCCCTAAGTCATACAATACTTGAATGGAGAAAGATAGAAAAGAGAGGAGCATGCGAGTAAATTCCTCTAATGTATGGCTTCTGTCTGAGCCTACCTCACGCAATTGACTTTCTCCAGTGTAGTGGATGGCGGCACGATTGGCCACCCCTGCCAGGTGGTCGAGGGTGTGCATACTGGCAGCTAGGCTGGCATTGCA